CATCGATTGATCGCTGAACGATTAAACGTCGTTATGAATGCTGAAAAACACAGCAGTTTACTCAACAAAGTGCACCGCAACAGCGCGCGCAAAATGAGGCGTACTGTCCAATTACAAGCATGACGCGTACACTGTCCACACACTTCCGCACACTTTTCTGGGAGTACCTCCCCCCCGGTAACGAGGTGACCGTAGTAACGAAGTGACCGTAAGGCGAGGTTCCACAGTACTTCTGAAGTGGAAATACATCAAAGGCAAAAATTATGTCATCTAGGCCGCTATGTTGCGAAAGCGAAGCTATTTTGTCAAAAAACGTTCGTCCCAGTTACTCGGTCTATGTGATCTAGAGTGTTTACATGGAAAAATTTTCATCTCGGTTTCGGAGACTTCGGTTTTAGAAACTGAGGTCTCGGTAACCGGGCTGGCCAGAACGCATCGAAATTTTAACAAAGGAAATAGGAGCCGTGGCAAGATCTTGGTAACCGGCCGGCCAGCCGGTCAACCGGGCTCTTATCCCCATTGTTATCATTGCTATCATTGGGAGCGAGGTTGCAGCGTCCCGGTCCACTGTTGTGCGAAGAAGTTGAACTGTGTGAAAATCTTTTAGAAGTAGGGCAAAAATTAAAGTACAAACAAGGCAGCTCTGAATTTAAGACAAATTTATTTTCTTTTATATCCGGATCTCTCTCTTTGATATACATTACACACTTCTTTTTTTCGCAACTTATTACTACTTATTATCACGCATTTACTATTCATTGTTACGCTTTGAATACAAAATTGTGAAAGTGAATTAAATAAATATCCATTTATATATTTTACATAAAATTTTGCAGATATTTCTTTCAGTTTAGGGCATTTCATTGTTCATATATAATACAATTGCTTGTGTCGCAAATATTATGCGTAGCACCGTGGATCTAAATCAAGTAGCAGAAACGCTAGCAAACAGGGGCGTAGTCAGGATATTTCAAAGGCGGGGGGGGGGGGGTCACACTGTGTCAAAGTGAGGGTACTCACCAGATTGTCACGTCGTTTTCGCCACCTGTTGTACGTTGTTTGCTTAAAAAAGGCTTACAAAAGGGGGGCTTACAGCACCCTAGCTACGCCCCTGGCAAATATTACTAGTAGGGAAACATTTAATTTTAATTCCCAAGAATCTCAATATTTCAGTTCACTGGTTTCCTGAGGGACCAGTCATTAAGTGGATTTGTATGACGTGAGAAGGATTCACATGCAAAGGCGGTCAACGCTCAACATTTCCGGGTTACAGAAGGAGTTACAGTTCACATTTACTCTCTGACGTCATAGATATTGCAATGTTGCCCACTCAGAGACTTTTGGCAGGAAACAGCATTATTGTTACATGTCATGTGACCTGGAAGTGGCTAATGAGAGCCCGCGCTGTTGGCAAAAAATACAGGTATATAGCAAGCCAACCTGTTAATCTCCCCACCACCGTCTCCATCATTATTTCCGGCCTCAAGCACCTTCACAAAGACCTTGGTATAAAATTAAGTTAAAAACTAAAACTCTAATCCTCCGCTCAAATTTATTCGACATTTCAAAAATTATTGTTCATTTAAAAAGATAGCTCGACACCTTGTATCAAGCAAGCAGTATTTTCAGTGATCCTAAAGAATCACGTTTTTATGTCATCTCCTGTGTCTCCCTGATCAGCCTCCTCCTCAATAACATTGTTTATCAAACTCTCTGTTTGCTGAGCATCCCTTCTCCTAGAGTGAAGTGAGAAATCAGCAAACACCTCAGAAGTGTATACACTCTAATATCGATAAATAAGGACAGCATAAGGTAGGCTGGGAGAAAACTATAGCAGCTGAAATCAACACAGACTATCTCAAAGTCCTTGGCGCTTCTCTAGGTAGTCCTGACACGAACGAGCTGCCTTACACTCTCTGCACCTAGGTTTTGAGGATGACAGATATGTTTTAACTCTACGCTTGGCCTTCGCAGCTCGGGTTGTTGACAAGTCTACAATAATAATATTTTGGTCTACACTAATACAACTGATAAAAACGAAACGAAATTGTTCAGGTCTAACTGAGGAAGGAAGGTCAAGGAGTATTCATGTTAAAAAAATATTAATCCTACATTTTACACGCTTTTTGTTATGGTAATCTACCTTAATCTTTGTTAACCATCCCAGTTCCCTGTAGGTCATTAATGCACCAGCCAAAGTAAACCCCGACCAACCCTCCCCCTAAGCTGGGGAAATAGGCGGTAACTGGCTCTCTATAGCGTGCAAAAACCATCAAATGCCGGGAAAATGTCACATCCCCCGGGGAAACAGAAGTTGTCCTTAATGAATTTGTCCTTGAAAAACTCAAAAAGTTTCAGAATTCAAATGCCACCATATTTTATAAGCTTGAGGACAATTTTATTCGTAACATTGTGATGGTTTATTGTGATAGTTTGCTATTGATTCAGCGAACCTTTCAATGACTTGCTGACTGATGTTAACAAGTTTCTTCAATCCGACCAAGATCGGGTCCCAGTCTCCGTAATGCGTCAACAAACCCACAGCAAAAAATGACACAAATGCTGGTATTGTACCAATAAAAAACATCCATGAAAAATGAACCTGGGAGATAGAAACAAAACCTTGTCAAAGGTTTGTTATTTGATATATGATATATGATATTTTATGTAATCATTTGTCAATAGTATTATAAGTAGTCAGGGAGACATGATGGCCTTATGGTTAGTACGCTCGTCTCGGGATCGAGAGCTCCGGGTTTCAGTCCTGGCCGGGGACATTGCGTTGTGTTCTTGGGCAAGACACTTTACTCTCACAGTGCTTCTCTCCAACCAGGTGCATACATGGGTACTGGCAAACTTAATGCTGGGGATAACCTTGTGATGGACTTGCATCCTATCCAGGGGGGGATAGAAATACTCTTACTTGCTTCATGCTACTGAAACTGGGATAAGCCCCAGCCTGATGGGCCACTTGGCTTGTATGCAGACTTAACCTACTTCACCATAATAAGTAGTCAAGATAATTATCGTCAAGTTTGAAAATTAAATTAAAATTGTCCAAACTGTAGCATGACAAAATTAAAAATACTTCATACTTACTTTCTTCATGAACACATCAACAATCATGGTCAGCGGTATCACTAGACTCAAAGACAATGTAGCTGTTAATGATGACGTCAAGTAACAACCCCTAAAATGTGACAAAATATAGATAATGGCAGATGGAAACTCACATGTTTAGACAGACATGACTGCAAATGTGTTTGTCGAACAAGCAATACAAAAAAAACAACAACAACAAAAAAAGAAACTATAATATTACCAAAGCCACAAGACCTCTGACAGCACTGTTCCAACAATGGCATTCAAGACGATATAGCCCCAAACATTTGAACTTGGAGGAAGTTCAAACTTTTCCCAACTGAAGTAGTTAAGTACAAAAAATCCTGGCCAAAGAAGCGAGAAGATAAATGCTCCAACGAGACCTGCAATGGTAACAATGAGGTTTATAAATGAAATAGTTTCTTTTTACTTCTGCAAAACTGAACCACACTGAGTGCAGCAATTTAAGTCTGTCCTCACAATGTCTATTTTCTCTTCACACGTTTGTCAAGATCGCAAGCAAAATACAGTGAAACCTGTATTAAGTGGACACCCTTGAGACCCTCATTAGTGTCCGCTTAATACAGGGTGTCCGCTCAACACAGGTTCTAATATGTCGTGCAATAATAGTTAATTATTAACCCTTTTGTAACACAGTGTAACACAGCGTGAGATCAAAGACTGCTCATAGCACAATGTCCAGTCAGTCAATGGATCAATCTGGAAATTCATAATCTCTTAGCTTTAAAACGACATTGCTGAACAATGTTAAAGGAGTCTCAGCTGAACTTTTACAGGTAACATGCCCTTTTTAAGTGTCCACTTCTTGCAGGTTTTGTGCAACAAAATGGCTGAATATTGGTGTCCCCGTCCACTTAACAGAGGTGTCTGCTGAATGCAGGCTTATTTTATGGTAAATAAGGAAACAAAATTTAAGGACTGAAGCTGGTGTCTGGTTAATACGGGGTCCACTTATAACAGGTTTCATTGTAGTCAATAACTTCGGGGGGAGTTGAATGAGCATGAATGCAAGGGTGGGGTTTGAAAGCCTGCTTGCAGGAAAAAATGTATGTGGACAGGCTACAGCTGCAATAACTATAACATGATTGTGAACATAATATTTCAGAAGTTATTGACCATTGATTAAACAAATGATTGGTCTAGCGAGTTTGAACCTTGAAAGAGAACTACAATTTTAGGGGACATTTGCAGATAGTGGGCCTAAGGTTTCTTCAGTTTGAATTCAAGTTACAAGGTTTCAAACAGAACTCTATTACTTTTAAATTGTATGGTTTAATCTTTATATCGACAAAACATGTGTTTGTAATTGTAATGATTCTGAGGGCTCACTCAATATGAACTATGATAAAAACAAGCGATATGTGAAATGAATATAAATTTATGTAGTATAGACAAAGCATTATGTAAAAATTGATAACAAGATGATAATACAAATTAGAAATTAGAACTGAAGCAGATCATTTTAACAACTGGAACAGACCTCACTAGCCACGTTAGCAGAATTAGCAATGTTTCACTGTCAGCGTGCTAAAACGTCTGTCCAAAAACAAGATCATACAATATAAAGATAAAGAAATCACTTACCAAAAAACATTGGGATATCCATTTGTTCTTCATTAGGAACTTTACGTTTCAACAAGATTAAATAACATGAATACCTAAAACGAAATTGGAAAAGGACTTGTGTATAACTAAATACAATCAAATCAAACTCTGGATCAGTTTATGAAGAATGTGAATGTCCACATTAAACAAACAGCACTATTTAGCCTTTTTATTCAGTTGTAAGACTTTCTGACATCATGGAACAAGGAGTCGTTTCTGTCAGTAGATCTTGTTCTTCTTTAATTTTTGTGTAATCAAATAGGAAGACGCAATAGGAAACATTGCTGTAACCCGCATGTTTCACCACAGGTGTTGTCACCCTGTTGCAATATAATAGAAAATGTTGTTTGAACGTGCAACTGGAATAACAAACATGCGCAACATGTTGTGGGCAATAAGTTGCAATATGTTCCACATATTTAATTGGTCGGGCATTGAAGTCATCTTTTAGTTTTTCAAACTTACAGGAAAGCACCGGCCAGCGCCCACAGAGCTCCAAGACTAATTCCACCTTTTGTGTTTTTGGAGTCAGAGAGTGTAACTAAAACTATCCCAGTAATGCTGCAAATGATAAAAACACAATGTCATGAATACACAGTTAAACCTCAACTATACTATTACACAATAATATTGTAGACATCTTTCAGTTTCGTGGTCTGCATGCACAAAAACCTTAAAACACAATGAAACTCTACACCGTCACATTTAGACCAGAAAATAAATTTAGGGAAATTCCTCAACATTGGATTCCTCTAACCCTACACTGTGCCATCACAGTCTGCAGTCAGGCTACATGCATAGTTGCTCTTCGAAATGAGTGGAAAACAAAAGTTTTCATTTTGGGATGTAATGAACTGGTGAGAACACAAAGCAAAAACAAGGTGAAAACACGAGAAGACACAAATGACCATATGGTGATTGCTTTTAGATTTGAATTTGATTGGTTCTTTGACTAGAGGTGGCATGAGTTGTTTAAATGAGAACATACCAGATGGCTTTACCTTTACTTAAACACAATGATGTTTAAAGCTGAAAGCTTATGGGGTTGTGTGTACACAAAATCAAAGCTAAAATTACCTAAGCAACGGCAAAGGAAATTCAAGATATCTCTCCACTCTCAATTGAAAACTTTCTAACACAGTAAAGAAATTAATTATATTACAAGCCCAAAAGCCCATACAAGCATGCACATGATTACTTGTTAATTTTGTAAATTGTCCAAAGTAACAAGTAATTTGGAGAGTTCTGCACTCAGCATTATTGATAAGTATGAGGACTACATGGTTGTCCAATTTAAACATAACTGGATTAAAAAATATCTCTGACAGCCAAATCAGACACAGCATAAAATTATGGCCTTGTCCAATTTTGGCTGGGGTCAGAATTTTCCCAACCGATTATTTCCAAAATTGGACTGTGTGTAGTCCTAATAAATAATAACCTCATGAGGACAGCAAGTAGTTTTGTAACAGAAAATTTGTCTGAAGTTGAGCTCTGGAAGATGGACGCTAATATGAGTGTAAATAACCCTGTAAATAACAACAAAAACAACAACAATCAATAGAGGATTTCTCCTTAACTAGTGAGACTATCTCAGATAGTGCAGAGTGCAATTGATAGGTCTGGTACGGTAGTCCCATAAGTACTCACCCCTGGTAATCTGCTAGGGCTTTTCTCCTTAGCAGCGTGTATGTTTCAAGGTTGTATTTTCATTCAAGGTCCAAAAATTACATACAATTACTGTTTATCGTCACAGCTTTTAAATTTTACTCTGGTGTTTAACGATGATTTTCCTTCATTTTAAATTCAATAATACGTTGAACAAACGTGATAATTTAGCTCTTTGCACCAACTTTGCGACTTGATACTTTTGTTTTCCTCGCAAAGGTATGTAACATGAACCCTTGTTTTCTCCAGAACACACTGAAAATGTGTTTGGGATAAACAAAAGAAACTTAAATATTTGAGGAAGAAATGGAAGAGAAACAACTTAATTTGTTTTTTCTCAAAATGCACCTCTTCTTATCACCAATGAACAAGAACTAATTTAATTATCAGATAGTCACAGAATACTACTTTCACTTTCTGTTGCCACCTTTGTTGCTAACAATAAAGTAATTCAAAATTAATTCACAAGAATATTGATTGATACAATTGAGAAGTGTTTCAACGAGAAGTATTGCAGGTAAACAGAGCTACTTGGCCGATATTATCCTACACCGGTGAACGAGTCCCCTCAAAGACTGATTAAATTAATTTGCACTTTCATTAGGTGCCACGGAGTCTGCAGCAATATTTGTGCACTTTCCTGGTTTCTTATGTCACAAATTTACAATTTGCAGAATATTGAGGCCACTAACTCGGGAACTTTTTGGTCTCTCTTACAGATGCAATTAAGGCAAGAAATAAACAAGCTGCTAAGGAGAAGCTATACATTTCCCTTCTTTATTGACAAACATACTATTGTAGTTGACAAACATACTATAAATGTAGTTTGAAAACAGATGATATTTGTTGAACCGACNAACATGGTGCAAAATTGGTTCTTCTATAAAGATCTTCTACTGAGATTTATTGACTAATCAGAGCATTTGTACATTACAGCCCAAGTGAACCAGCTTACACATATTTGAGCCACACATGTAACATTGAGGATCTTAGTTTAATTCTATATTACTGTCAGCTACATTTCATTTGTAACAGTCCTTCATTTGCTCACTCACCAAGAAACAAAACATCACTGCAATTTTAGCCACTTGCATAAGAGACAACTTCTGACCCAGTTCACTAGGTTGATATGGACATCTGGCTAACCTTGCTTGTTCACTGTTATGGTCTGGAAATGGAAAATACCGATATTATCATTGAATGATATCATTCAATTAAATGGAGAACAACACATGGGTATGTAGAAATAATAGTGAACTTCTCTTTGAAATTATGTTAATGAACATGAGTACATCACTTTGCTTCTGTCGTGTCTCCAGCCAAAACCAATAAACAGAGAGAAGAAAAGTTTGATACAGAAGAACCAATGCATGCCTTGTCCCTAGATTTTGTGNTCGTTCAATTTTGAAATCACGCGTATGATTTCAGACCAAATTGCACTCCACTCAGTTCAATTACCATTGTTTAATACACTGATGGGCCATCCTGTTAAAATATTTCTCATAATAATAATAATAATAATAATAATAATAATAATAATTATAATTATTATTATTATTATTATTACTATTGTCGTCGTTATTATTTATGTGTTACTTGGTACACAAATGAGACATCAAATAGCCAGGGATACGTACAATGTAATGTTTGTGACCTACTTTGAATTATTTCAAAGGAACCACTTTCAACATCAACTAGCTGACTGTTGGATAGCTCGTCATCTGTAACTTGCTCAAATGCTGACTCGTGCTGTAGTTTAAATTGAAAGGAAAGATTGTAAACAAATCAATAGTTGTGGTGGCTTCGTGGAGGCTGGAATGTACCTGGAAAACATCTTTTAAGTTTGAAAGAAATCAAAAGTGTTAATTTTCAAACTATTTTCCCCTCATATATAATTACAGTAACGACTTGTCAAGCTGATGGCAAATAACAATAATAAAATTAATTAATAATAAAATTTATAACAGTACTTTAATAAATAATTTATAACATCAATCCAATCATTAGGGATTATCGTCATAAATAAATGTACTGCCAAATTCTTGGCGCAAACCAGGGCTCAGAAAAAGTGCCATCTGGTTGACCCGGCGAATAACTGTTCAGTCTCACTTGCCCAATGGCCAAGGGCCCAGGCAAATTGTCTGCCAACTAAATAACAAAAAAAGTAAACTAAGACTTGCCCAGGGCAAGCAAAATTTGAGAGCTGCTTGTCTGGAGGGCAAGCTAGAATTCAAGGTGTTTTTTTGAGCCCTGCAAACATTTTAAAGAAATGAAGCAATTATGTACTATTACACTTGTCTAATTGCTCAAAATAACTAATTAAAATAATTAATTATTTTAAGCACTAAGTGAAGGTATAACAAATCAGTCAGACAACTTCGTTTATTTGTGGCATCTTCAGAACATCATTATCAATGCTTGTAACATCTTAAGTTTAGTCACCTCCAGTTTAAACTCCCTTGAGTTTGACTATGTCAAACTGGTGTTCTTCTGAGATTAGGTAACCTCACTCTGATAACAGCTAAATTACACATTGTCAAATTTGCTATACTACCTCATCTCACATGCTGTCAGACTGTCTGGCATTGTTGTTGTTCTTCTGATGCCAGAAAACTAGAACAAATTCTGTAAGAACGAGCACTATGTGATGTTCACTGTGACCATAAATTGGCGTATGAGGAACTCTTGCAAAGAGCGCAACTACCAACACTTCATATGCGACGACCGCAAACCTCAAGGTCTGGCGCCTCCTTACATTGCGGATGTATTTGTTGTTACCAATTCTAAGTATCATCTTAGAAATTCTGATTTCCCCATACCCACCTTCACATAGCCTGACTTATTTAGGCCCTGTCATTTGGTCCAAACTCTACAAATCTATTTGATTGTCTGAATCATTGGCAGTGTTTCCGCCGGTCTGCGCCATTGCAGGAATCCTGTGTTGGAATCAGAGATGGCCCCCAGAAAAATGAAAAAAGGGCCAATTTGGCCCTTTCTTTTTGCAGGGCTGCAGGCTTAACACAGGCATAGTAATTTAAAAGCCATCCCAGGGCTCTAAATTGAGACCATATCAGTCGCCAATGCAACTAACATTTCAACCTTGGCGACCAAAAATTCAGGTTTAGTCCCCATAATGGAGACTACATTTCTCTGTGTTGACAATCAACAACAGTTATTTTGTCACACATAATGTCCATCTAGAAAATCATAATGAAAACATTCAACATTCAACATTCTAAAACATTCAACATAAGAAAAGAAGCCAATCCGTCCTTTTGCTTTCCTGTGCCGTTTACTGTATTGATTCTCTCATATCGGAAAACTTCCAAATGGCTGACTGTGTTAAAAAAAAGCCCTATAATGTATTGCAAACCCTTGATCATTGACTACGTCATGTACGCCTAAGGATTGTTCTCTTGTAATGCACGGATCCTTCATACTGGTATCTGATTCAAAAGAAACTTGATAGAGTAAAAACACTTTAAAAAGCACTTACTATTAAATTTTATCATAGATCCTAATAAGCAGCAGTATTTTTCTTGGTACCCTGATGCAGTTTTTCCTTCTCTAGCTTTCAATTTATTGGCCCGTTTCCTGAAAAAGATCTTCAGGGGCTAATTTAGCCCTCAAGTAAAATTTTCTGGCAGAAACACTGCATTGGACACTTTTAAAAAGCGCATCAAATTGGTTAATTTCACAAGCCTGCTGGGCAATACTTGTAAAGACTGTTTTTTATGTAACAACCAACAATTGATTTTATTGCATGACTCATTGTTTGTTTTAAAAAATTTTCCATACTTACATATGTACATATATTTCAAATTTTATTAATTATTAGATAAGTAAAATATTGTAGATCTTTAAGTGTCCCCAATTAGTGTACATTGTATGCTAGCAACTTTGACACAATAATAAAAGTTCTTATCCTATCTTTACCCAAAACATGACAAACATGACCATTTGAACACATTCCAAATTTTCCTGACTGGTCTCCATCGAAATACAATTTCTTATGTCATACCAGAAAGATAATGCAGTCAAAGAAAAGTGTGTTACCATAAGTGGAGAGGGGACTGGTGATGATTCTCTTGAAGAGCTTGGTGAATGCAAAAGTGATGAATTTTCTCCGGCTTGGTGTACTGAAACTGTTACCTGGGAGAAAATAATGAATTCAAAATGATTACTAGTGATGTGCTATAAACTTCAAATTAATTCCAGTAGAATACTAACTTCTCAAACCCTCGATTTTTCAACCCTCCCAATAACTGAAACCAAAAAATGCTTCCCTACCCCCTATCAAACACTGTAATTTACCTGTGTTTTCTCAAACTACCTGATTTTTCAAACCAATTTTCATTTCCCCATGAAAGTCAAAAAAATTGTGATTCCAATGTATTTTTATTTTACAACAAAGAAAATGGCGAAAGCAAGAAGTAAGGTTCAGTTAAATAATCAATAAGACAGACTGTCTGCTGACAATGTTAAATATGTCCTTCCTATCACATCCAAGCTTGACCATGTCGTGAAAAATCATGACCAAAATGGGTAACAAACATCCTATGATTTGTCATTAATCATTGAAGTTTGGCAGATGCAATATGAACTTTCCCAATATAGATTTATCAAGTTCTGAAAATGTTTTCAATAAGATTGGATGAAACTTCAAAGAAGAGGTTCCCTTGAGAAGGAAAGTCCTGTTTTGAAGATTCATCCAACGTTTTGTGAAAAAATATCTCAACTAAAAAAAATGATATATCGATAGTGTCCTTCTTCTTTAGGTAAGAACCGTTGTGTTATGGCCTGCTTATCCTCAAATGATTGATGACAAACCATACCCATTTACATCATCTTTTTTCATGACTTGCTTCCGCTTAAATGTAACCCATGGTAAATAATCTAAAATTTCTCTATATATTGAATGCCAGAAACACAGATAGTTTTATTAGAAGTTTCTTGTAAATTATGTATCGCCACAATTTGTTTAAGCAAGCAAGATTAAAAATAATTGATGGAGAAACATAAAAAATAAAGTAATATCCCTAAGTCCTTTTGTCCACTTTACCTTAGAAGATGTTTGATTCATGGACTGTATGCAAAGTAATCTCCAAGGTTCATAAAATATAAATCCAGTCAAGTAGATCATAAAAGAAGATGTCTTCACGTATGTCGTAAAGAAAGGCTTGTTAAATCCTTCATCTTTGAATATAAACTTAAATGATAGTAGGAAAAAAATAAATCAAAGTTAAAGCTGAAATAAGAGTATATGTTTGATATATCAAAATTCTCACATGACACTGAGGCTTTCTACCAAAGTCTCTAATGGGAATTATTAGCAGAAGAATTTGAGGAAATCTGCAATTTTGGACAGAAAGCATCCATGCTCTTTTCATACGGGAGTTCTTCTACCGCGGCGAGGGGGGTGGGGTTGGGGTTGGGGTTGGGGGAGCCCCTGGAATATATCAAATTTCCGATTTTGAACTATTTTTCCCTTGCATTGGAAAGTAATCAGAATTTCTCTGTATACAATTTCCTGACCTACCCCGCGGTCTCTCCTCGTTATTAATTAATCAAAGCTGGTAAAAGCATCAGTAAACAGAAGTTTCTTACATCAGTCAGCTCAGCGGAGCCGACCCAAATCACATCCACCAAGAGTAGAACTATTAACCCCCACACCAAACGACGTTTACGACGAATTCCTTCCTCATCTGAAACTATGAAACAGACTGCCTTCATCCAAATCGAGCGAGCACATCGGCAATAGCTTGCAGCCATGAAGATTACGTAATTTAGTGTCACCCAGATCACACCAGCACCATGTGATGGAAGATCATGACTGAATTAAGTGAATCAGCAGGTTCCAGAGTCCATGTCATGAAATGTTTTGCATCATTGTATGTTCACTGTATGGTTGAAGAAAATTAAAATTAATATCACTATTAACTTTTCCAAAACCGTAAAACCTAAAATCGTACTGAAAAACAGTGAAAATGCGAGATACTTTCCACTCACTTCATCAACATCTGTTCCTCTATTTTGGAGTCCATTTTGGTTATTTTGGGAAACGCTGACCAAACATTTTCTCAACGCAGGTTCACATCGCACAAGCAATGCGCGTGGGTGCGCGTGGATATAAGCGTGGACACGTCGTCTGCCTCGAGCGTACATATACGGGTCGTCTCTATTATTTCGATCTGGTATAAGAATATCACCAGCTTTTAAAATAGCGCTGAGGTATTAGGTAACATTGAAATATTCATCTAAAAATTAGTTAAGAGAATCAGACTTTTGAGCTGGGGTCATTTCAAAGTATCTGTAGAATTATTTTTCGCATCCCTTGAATTGAGTTAAGCAGGTGTTAATTAATAAAGAAACTCACTTGCAAAATAACTTCTGGATTTTACAGAATTTTGAAAACCTAAACGAGCTAACAGTTTTTTTCTAGCGACGTTTCAGTCGTAAGTGGCTAGTTTCTCTTCTTAGTAAACCTTAATCGTTGATAAGTTATGTAACCTATCTTTGAACGTTCTGAGAACAGTACTTTTTCTTTTGTTTTTCTCAGTTTCCTAATTCAAGCAATTTTCAAATGAGTTGATATTAAAATGGTGTTGAAACTTCCGCCCGTTTCGTAAAGATGAGCTAAGACGGGGATGAATGCTCTGTTTTCACGGCAGGTTTTCTAGCCTTTTTGTCAAAAAATTAAATTTCCGAATTTAAAAGTCCTAATGCCCTCATTCATCTCAAACAGCTTTGATAATTGAAGGGAAAATATTTCTCACATTGCAAAACAGAACATGCTTTGTAGTGAAATTCTCCTTACTAGAGTTTGTATTAGAGTGCTATTCCCATTCTTGTCGTTTTGATGTGAATTTTCATATTCCCTTTAGCGAAAAACACATTGTTAGAATACTTAAATATTACAAAAAAACAACAAAAAAATTGGAATAACATCATAAACAGACTAAAGGTCACGAAACTTCCATCGCTGTATCTAGTCGAAATACATTAGCAAACACATGGCGGGATAGTACAATCATTGATCAGATGTCTCGAGTAAAGGTCGCAAGACAACGTGACTGTAGAAAAAAACATTGCAGAACTGAAAAGTAAAACGAAAAAACGGCTATACGATTATATTGCCGATTTATTTGGCCACTTGGTTAGATAAGAAAAAGAAAATTCGATTCAGATTATCAACACCATCAAATCCGAATAATACAAACTGATACTAAGGGGAGACGGGACGAATTTTTTTGCTTGCCTCGACGTCATGCATTCAAGTAGTTTACGACGCCAAAGGTCCACTTTTCTTGTCTTCTCTTTGGTCGAGCTGAAAATTATGTTGATATTTATTATATAGCGTGACACAATGGAGGATAACACTGGGACACCGCCTGAATCTGCAAACCGCAGCAAATGGGAGAATTTCGATGAGGAGAATAGAGAAATTAACGGCCATTGTCAAGAGATTTCCGTTCGTGAAAAATTACCTCTGGTAGAAAACCACCTTTCTGAAAACTGTGAATTAATTAACGATCCAAAAGCTCTCAGTCAGCCAGGCAATTCTTCACTTAATAAGGAGAATGGACTCACAGGAACTGACTCTAGGGAGAATTTACCGGAGAAATCTAAAGATTCGGAGACTTCACCGAGTAAGATAAACACTCCACAGCAATTTGATCTTGAACCTGGCGTTGATTCTTCGAATCTTTTGGAAACAACCTCCGATCAAGCTACTGATAAGGAGCTAGGCGCTCGCGAATCTTCTTCAAAATCTAACAAAGGAGAATTGACAGCCGGGGAAAATTCTATTCAATCGAAAGATTTCTCAAAAAGTAAGGCAGATGTTGTTGGAGGCAAATTGAACGGCGTGAGTGGTGGTTATACTCGTTCAGCAGCTGACGACGGAGTGCTTGCTGGAGAAAACATTATTCCTTCAGGACAGTGGACTACGTTTGAGGAAAGTCGCGGAGACGGTACATCGACAAATGATTCTAAAAGAGCAGAAGGTTCCTCGATCGCCAAAGACCTGAATATAAACACACCCACGACAGATTCGAACATGGCGGCGTTTGATTCCCAAGCCGCATTAACCACAAACATTATCTCCAATTTGGCTACTGTAACTGAAATTGAAGCCATTCAGGCGAATTCTTCATCCATTAACCACGGAGAAATAGCTAAAAATCTACCTTCAAATTCGCATTCGCCCACTGCGAGCAGCATGAAATCAGCTGTTCCCATTGTAAATCGGGTTACAACACTCGAGAAAGGCACTCTCCGCTCGACTTCAAGTAATTCTCAGCAGCCGCAAGTTGGTAATAGCTCTGTTACAAAGCAAAGTAAAGACGAGCTTGGATCTAACTGGGTCAGTTTTGGCGAGGAGGGGAATTCGAGCGAAAGCCAGAAAGCAGGTTTAGACGGAAAACTTGGTAACTTAGAAACGAAGAAGCGTCTTGTCGAAAGTGATCTTCAAAAGCCGGATTCAGCGGTTGAAAACGCGAAACAGAGCGTAAATACCTCTGGCTTACAAGCAGAAAAGGTAGTTAATGGTAAAGGATTAAACAAAACGATCTCAGCAATTGCTCCGGTATCGTTTACTTCGGCAGAACTGGATTTACTTGCGAGTAAGTCGTGGATTCAATTTAATGATTCAAGCACAAGTAAAAAGGACGTTCAGCAAACGAATTCAAGTGCTGCTTCAACTTCAGTCCAGCAGTCTTGGGTCAAGTTTGGTGATTCGACCGGCCTAGTAGGACAGAATCTGGACTTGTTGGAGTTGGATGTTAGTGGCAAAACTAACTTAAATAGTGCATCATCAAGCCCAAATCCATTCAGCACTATGCCATCCACTTTGGGCAGTAATCCTTTTAAACCAGATGCAAAGCCGAGCCCTGCTAATCCATTTCAAGCTGATGCCAATGCAGCAAATGGATCAACTGCATATCCAACATTGACTCAAGGTCCCATCTCCTCCTCGACGCCCCTCTCTGGCACGAAAACCTTGTTGGTTTCAGAACCCACTGCTGCACTGACCATTCCACACCAAGGACCCCTCAGTGATGATTCTAATTCACTACACAAACCTGAATTGGTTGTAATTCAAGATCAAGTGGACACAAGACCTGTAGAACCAGTCATTCATGATCAGCAATCCACTGAAGCAAATAACAAACCCCTTCTTGAAGAAAAGCCATTGATAACCAGTGGTTCATGGTCTATGCTTCTGCGCTTCCCTGACAAGAAGCGCAAAATTGGCTCACGTGAGTGGAAACCTGTGGTTATAAAGCTGGAGGGTACCACGTTGCAGATTTTTGAGGAATATGAATTGTCTGCACCCTTTCGAGAGATCCCACTGCAGGCTTATTTTGTGTTCACAGCACCAAAGTTACAGTCATTTGAGCATGGGGCCAAAGTTCATACAGTTAAATTAGAGTATGTCAAGTACATCGAAGCAAGAAGTTTGCGACATCGTGGCACCATCGAGCACACAGCACAAGGAACTCCGATCATTAAAATTGCATCTCCAAGTCACTTAGTAATCAAAGAACTCTTAGAATCTTTCAACAATTCACTTCGCCTTCTCCCAGCCTACAGAGACAGGGGCATCACTTACCGTCACGATGAAGTCTTTGTTGATGTTGAGGATCTGACCAATGTTATTTTATCTGGTGATGGTACTGTTCTAAAGAAAAATTCCAAAGTGTTGATCAAGTTTCGAGCTTTTCTAACTGGAGACCCTGAATGCCAGTTGGTACTGAATGACATTGTTCTCAGGGAGAGAGAAGAGGCTCGCCTGCGAGGAGAGGAGAAACCACAGCGGGTTCATCACTGGGTTAAACTGCGCCATTGCGATTTTCACAAATGCGTAGATGTCACAACCTTCGACCAGTCGCATGCGATAACCTTTCATCCTCTAGATGCATGCACATTTGAGCTGATGCGTTTTCCTGTGGATCACCATAAACCTCTACCCCTCCTTGTAAAAACAGTGTTGAATGTACACAGCGAGCAAAGAATTGAACTCAAAGCTGAAATCCAAGTCTGCCAGGAAACTAAGATGGCAAAGTATTTGAGAAACAATGTGGTTTTCAGATTTCCAATTCCTGAGTCATGGGTACCTCTCTTTAGAACATCGAAAGCCTTCAGAGGGGAGAAATCCATTAAATCCAGTAAGGGCAGGCGTGCTGCAGCAATTAAGAGCAGGCTGAGGAATTCCAAGTGTTCCATTGCGGTGTCTCTTGGCAAAGCAAAGTACGAGCCGGAATATGGTGCTGTTGTGTGGCACATTGATCAACTGCCATTCATCCACAGCAAAATCCCAGCTGATGCTCCCCAGACACTCACGTGTGTCTTAGATCTTCCTCCAGGCATGGAATATCCAGAAAACTACAAACCCATGGCAGAGCTTGAGTATGACATCGCCTATGTGTTAGTCTCTGACACCACTGTCATCGCAGTGAAAGTGTCCAATCAGAATATTCCAGAGAAGTGGGTCTGCTACAGAGCATTGTACCACTATGACGTCAACATTGAAATCTCAAGGCCATCTAGTGGACCAGTCAGAGATGTTGGATGTACGCAGCAGTGAGGCAACCAGTAGCACTGCTTTCAGTAATAACTGGTATGTATAAACTTTTGCATGTTTAAAGGGCAGTATCCTTAAATATGTGTTTTAAAGAATTGTTTCAAGACATATGTCAAGTACTCAACTGAGGCCCCATTGGAGAAGTTGTGAGTATCTCACATCCCAGTAATTTTTTGGACCTAACAGGGCTCAAAGTTAACGACCAACTGGTCGCATATGTGACTAGATTTTTGGCTGTGCGCCTAAAAAATCATGTGTGGTCGCACCGCCGCGCCTTAAAAGCCAAAGTACAGTGCAACTTCTCTAGTGCTTACTCACCTGACCACACTAACGTACTCAGATTGATAAATATAAATATAAATGTAGATATAACACAACCAGGCACCAAATAATAAAGTTGCACCATTTTCCCTTCATCAGTGTGTGTTTTATTCGTCATCTTTAAGCCTAATTTCCCAGTGGATTCTCAGAACTCGAACGTTCATTTCTTCCCCACGTTCTGTGTTGTAAATAACTCCGCTGACACATGCAAATGAAGGAATGAAGCACATGCTTCTTGCGCAATTGATGATCCAGCGGAAAGCGTTGAAACTGGGGAAGAGAATTAAATCGTGTGCTCGTTCTTCGCAAACAACAGTTACGGAATGCTGCGTTTTGTAAAGAAAGCTTTGTTTTCGCTTGTCTGACATACAAAAATGTCCAGC